GGTCTAAGGAAACCTACCCAGCTGGAGCGGAACCCCTCGTTCCGAGCCCACCCCGGCCCACCCTGCCCAGCCGGGACCCTCCTCCCCTTGCAGGAGCGGAGCGAGGGGCCGCGCTGCTGCCTCCCTTTCCACAGAAGCTGGGCTGGGAGGCTCACAAGCTGCCGAGCTCCCGGTGGTCCGTGGGGAGAACCCGCAAAGAGCCGCTTCCTCGTGTTCCCTCATTTCAATGCCTTCTCTCCTGCTTGCGCTCGTCTGTTGCTATGGGAACGGGCCCTGGACAGATGCTGAAGGACGGGGAGAGGAACACACACGTGCTCAGGGCCCTTGTCGAGCAAAGAGACGGAACATGGAAGAGTTCCCCTCAGATGCCCTTCAGCGACTCGGCCGTGGGGAGGCAGGCAGGGAATAGCCCGGCCTGTCTGAGAGCAGGGGTTGGGTCAGAGCTGGGCCCCATAAAGGGCTTTTTTGGCCTCCACCTCTGGCCGTCTCCACCCGATTCCACCTGACCGCTCAGCCTCTTCCTCTGCACAGCTGGGTCACAGCTGTTCTCCCGCCACGGCCATGCCTTGGGCCCAGCCTCGCACAGCCCCGGGCCCCGCTGGTCTCAGCCAGAGCCTGCAGAACTGCGCTTCCAGATCTGAACTGGGGGCCTCTGTGAGACGGGCAGATTCGAAAGCCCAGAACCGCACCCCAGCTCTGGGTCAGAACCGCAGGCAGAAAAGCAGCTGCTGATCACAGGCACCCGGGAGGAATCACTTCCCAGCCCTGCTCACACCTGCCAGACAGCTGCAGATCCCTCGGCGCCTGCCCAGCGTGCAGAAAAGCCCAGGCAGTGCGGAGAGGGGTGCTGTACCCAGGGGCCCAGGGTAATAAACGGGCTGATAAGACAATGAGCGGCTCAGGGGAGGCGCTAACGAATACCAGAGCCTCCTGGGTGAGGATCTGAATCTGTTAGCAAGGTTGTGACAACTCGAGAGCCGCTTGTTGCCCTGTGCAACCAGAGCCTCCTGGGTGAGGATCTGAATCTCTTAGCAAGGTCGTGACAACTCGAGAGCTGCTTGTTGCCCTGTGCGACGTGCATTTGCTAAGCCTCAGTCCGTTTTGCAGTTGTGCCCACAGCACAACCTCTCCGCTCATCACAAGCAGCAGCTTCTTTGACAGCTGGCAGGCCCAGCAGCTGGATGGGCCAGAGGCCCCTCAAGTCCAGGCGGAGGCACGTTGCACAGGGAAGTTTGGCCAGCTGCCGCCTGCATTGCCCATTGATTTATGAGCTAGCGGGGAAACACAGCTGTACTTAGCAGTCAGCTGAAGATGCTGCAGAGCTCTTGGGATGCTCCGGAGAAGAGGCAGGTTGTGAATGTTTAGTTTGGGGGAGGCATTGTGTGAAAACAATGAAGCCAGCGCTGGGGCTGCGCTGAGCCTTGCTCCTGGAGGGATGCAGCGATAAAAGCTGCATTTAACCAGCCGTACCTTTTGTCTTCTTCCACTTGCACCCCGATGGAGTGGAATTCCCTCTGGCTCCTGCTTTCTGTGTCGGAATCAGAGATCGTCTCCACCTGCGGTGGTGATCAGAGGGAGAGCATGTTGGGAGAGAATCGCTCCACCGCCTCGGGCGCAAGAGACTCATGCTTTTTAATTTCCGTCAGCAGATGCAGCAGCGCAGCAGTAGGGAAGCCAGAGAAACAAAGCGCTAATGAAGGCAACGGCCAGGCAGCTCCAGGAGCATCTAGCACAAAGACGGAGACCGGAGTCCCCTTGCATTGTTGATCAAGGGCAGGGTGTGGCAGGAAGAAACCTGGCGCTGCCACTGCTTGTTGGCAAGATGATTTCATGCCGACACGATGCCCCGTGCAACTCATCTTGGCAATGGCTGCAGAGCCAGGTCAGGGGGGTGAGACCTTGGTTTGGAGCAGAGTCACAGAGCGTAAGAGAGGGCATGGCTGAAGGGGAGGCGAGGCACCATGCATTGGCAGGCCCTCCCAGTCTGCAAGTATCTGCAGATGTGGGTGCGGATTTCCGCAGCTCACTGTTGCAGATGCAGTCACAAATACAAATGTTGTGTCTAGAACCCTGCAAACCTGGGGCTATCCACTTTATATCTGCAGGTATCCCTGGACATGGCTGCAGAGATATGCGGATCATTTTTGCAGAGGCGGATACCAATTTTATATCCACGCAGGGCTCTATGCATTGGGACCCTGTATCAAGCCCCAGTTGCCAAGCCTGGAAGGGCCAGTGTTGGGGTCCTGCAGGGAACTGTGAGTCAGAGAGCTACCGTGCAGCATTGGCAGCTAGATCCAGATGGATCTGGGTCCAAGTGTAGCTCTTGGAGACTCCAGGGAGCCAGGGGAGAGCGACACCTACCTGAACTCCAATGGACGGGCGCCATTTCCTCTGCCGTGCCAAGCTCCTCAGCTCTTCCCTGCCTGGGATGGCCTTGATGATGAGTGTGGATGGCTTGGAAGAGCCCCTGGGCTGGACTGGTGGCAGATCCAAGGAGAGGGCGGTCACCTTGGAGCTCTCCAAGCTCTCCGTGGAGTTGCAGCGAGCCGCGGCGTCTTTGGACCACGAGGGGCTCCGGGCAACCTCGCTGGGGAGGTAGCTTTCATGGGTGGACTCAGTGCTGCTCTGTGCCGTGATCGAGATGAGGGGCTTGGCTTTCATTCCTGCAGGGATAGGAGGCGGCGCTTTTCTGTAGCTGAAGGCTGTCGTGGGAGAGGGACACGAGAAAAAGCCCCGTGAGAGAGAGACACATTCTTGTTTCCTAACATGAATGAAGGCCAAAACCAAAGATCCATCTGGCCAAGTATCCCGTCTTCCAACAGTGGCCAATGCCAGATGCTCCAGAAGAAGTGAACAGAAGGGATAATCATCAAGTAGGTCCTCTCTTGTCATCCTTTTCCAGCCTCTGACAAACAGGCTAGGGACACCATTCCTACCCATCCTGGCTAATAGCAATTGATGGATCTAACCTCCATGAATTTATCTAGTTCTTTTTTGAACCCCGTTACAGTCCTGGTCTGCACAACTTCCTCTGGCGAGGAGTTCCACAAGTTGACTGTGCACTGCATGAAAAAACACTTCCTTTGGTTTGTTTTAAATTTGCTACCTATTCATGTCATTTGGTGACACCCCTCCTCCCATCCCCGGTTCTTATAACTTTTCCTTATTCACTTTGTCTGCACTGGTCATGATTTTATAGACCTCTGTCATATCCCCTCTTAGTCTCGTCATTTTCTACGCTGAAAAGTCCCAGTCTCGCCTCTTCCTCCTGCATCCCCACAGGGTGCTAGACCTAGCAGTCAGATCCTTGGCTGCTGTGAAGCTAAGCAATTCTACTGAACCCGTTTACACCAGCCTGGGAATTGGCCCTACCTTGCAACACCAGCCAAAGTTACACATGCGTCGACGGAGGCATGTAGATTAGCCAGATCGGCAGAGGGAAATGAAGCCGCGATTAAAATAATCGCGGCTTCATTTAAATTTAAATGGCTGCCCCACTCTGCCGATCAGCTGTTTGTCGGCAGATTGGGGCAGTCTGGACGCGCCGCGCCGACAAAGAAGCCTTTCTTGATCGGCACAGGTATGCCTTGTGAAACCAGGTTTACCTGTGCCGATCAAGAAAGGCTTCTTTGTCGGCGCGGCGCGTCCAGACTGCCCCGATCTGCCGACAAACAGCTGATCGGCAGAGCGGGGCAGCCATTTAAATTTAAATGAAGCCACGATTATTTTAATCGCGGCTTCATTTCCCTCTGCCGATCTGGCTAATCTACATGCCTCCGTCGACGGAGGCATGTAGTCTAGACACACCCTATATAACTGCCAGTTAACTGGGAGCTTGTGGCGAGGGACACGCAAGGTTCATTTGCTTTTGGAACGGCCGTTTGGCCAAAGGGACCAGGCGACCCTCAAGTGAGAGGGAAGTTCAGGGCGGGGCAAGTCCTGAGGCTGACGGCAGAAAAGGGGAGAGAGAAACAGACAGGCTCAGGGAGAGAGGAGGGGGAAACAGAAACAAATGCAGAGAGGAAGGAGGGTTGGGAGACAGATGGGGGCCTTGGCGACAACCCAGTCGGACACTCTTAGCGCCCCCAGCGCCAGCCCTGGGAGCTGCTGCCTCAGTGAGGCTGATGTTTCCTGCCTGCCCAAGGGCTGCGCTGGGGCTGGCATCCCCCACAGCTCCATGGCAGGTGAGCCCACCTCGGAGGGCATCCCCGAAAGATGGCGGCAAAGTGGGGCAGGGGGAAGCATTGGGTGCCGTCTATGGGAGGGGGAAGTTGGTGGGCACTTCCCTCTATGGAGAGGTAGGGGGACCCTCTGTGGGTTAGCAGGGGGTCCCTATGTGGGGTGAGAATGGGAGGGGCTGGTGAGGGTCCCTCCATGGGAGGGGGGAGAGAATGGCCCAGGGGGTTTCCTCTGTGGGAAGGGACAGGGGTCAGTGTGAGGTCCATGTGGGTCCCACCACCCCTGTACGGCAGGAAGGACCCCTGGGAGCAGCGCCACGGAGCAGAGCCTGGGACTCACAGGTGCTGGGCTTCAGGATGCTGCTGGTGATGGCTGGCCTGGGCGGGGCAGACATGGAGAAGAGCGAGAGGCAGTCGTCGTCCTGCGAGCAGCCCGCCTGGATGGCCCGCAGGTAGCTGTGGCTCCGCATGCGGAAGCAGCCGGGCGGGTCCC